AAACCTACAATATCCATGATATATGTATTGTTTTCCAATTACTGCCGACATCAACTTCTGTATTTGCCTCATTGGTTACAAGTATGTTTTAAATATTTCAAGGCCATTTCCAACACTGACTAGTTTACTAGGTCCAACAACACTTCAGCTTCCTGAAGGCAGCCAGCATGGACGTGGTCTCAGCCCCGCAGCTCTGTGCAGCAGGAGCAGGTCTGGAAAGAACAGTCGCCAACCAGCTATTTGAAAACTATCGACTCTTGTTCTTTTTAGAATTCCCCTGTGCAAAGAAAAATATCAATAATAAGAACACAAACATAAAAAAAATAACTCACATAGTTTCTAAACCAAGCTGTCTGAAAGCCATATTTCACTTTGGAACACTTCCAAATGGGAGAATAGCTGATAACCTTGCATTAATTTATATTCAATAATCACAAAGCAGTTTGTTATACTCTCTCTCCTCTCTGCTTCTACCGACCCTATCCCTCTCGGGGCTGAGGACAGGAAATAAAGAGAGAAAAGAAAGCTACTATCTTGGATTTATCAAAACTACAAACATTCATTTTGTTCCAAAGACAAGAGAGTCTAAGATTTCAAGAAGCTAAATAAAAAAAGTTAGCCTAAACATGTCTCGTCATTGTTTAAATAAACACCTTTTAAAGGTCTTAATAGGTAAGAACTCTGAATATGTGCCAACTAACACCCAAACGGCACGGATTATCTGTCAAAAGTCAGCTTGGATACTGGCTGAGAACAAATCAGGGAAGACAACTTACTCCACTTCCTCAAATATGGAGATTTGAATTTTCTAGTTTTGTGTAATTTTTCTTCTTTCTGGAGAGGCTCCCTTCTTGGGAATACATTTTAATTAAATGCCTGTATTTAACTCTTAGGCATAAATACGTTTTCTTCATGGAAGAAATGCTTGCAGAATACAAACATTAAGAGCAAGATCATAGCAAACAAATGGTTGAAGGTGTTTACTTAGTATCCAATGGAGACAATGTCAGCCATAAGATGATGCTACAGTAATGTAAATTACTAAACGGGGGAAAAGCAAAATATAGGATTACAGAATGATCAAAGACAGGTTAATGATATCAATTCAAATTGAAGAAGGGTCTCTTAGAGTTTTATTAATGGCTTGTATTTTATCAACAAGCTCTAAGAAGCTGTGTGCAGTGGTTCACGCCTGTAATCCCAGCACTTTGGGAAGCTGCAGCCGGTAGATCACTTGGGCATGGGAGTCTGAGACCAGCCTGAGCAACATGGTGAAATTGTTAAAAAAATACAAAAAAAGTTAGCCGGGTGTGGTGGTGCATGCCTGTAGTCCCAGCTACTAGGGAGGCTGAGGTGGGAAAAACTCTTGAACCTGGGAGGTGGAGGTTGCAGTGAGCCAAGGTCTTGCCACTGCACTCTAGCCTGGGTGACAAAGCGAGACTCCATCAAAGAAAAAAAAAAAAAGTCAGAGGAAACTTGAAAATTCCCTAACTTCTGAAGTAGCTGTAATCCAATTACCTTCAGGACAATGAGCTTTGCTGTACTCAACATGTACCCCTCTCAATTCAAAACCAAATACTTCTGAAGTTCCAGATATTGAAAAGTTTTCAAAAATTATTGCTACTTCTTTTCAAATTTTAGGTGCTGAAACAGACTTTCTCATACTACTACACTAAAACAAATTATACATACCACGAGAAAACCCAAAACACCACCTCTTCAATGTGTGTTTTCTACCACTACTAAGAATGTAACTTGTGAATTAGATATTGCTCTGCTGGAATATGGAATATCAAGAAACTAAAAGGTTAAGGGAGGCTTCCTTAAAAGGACCAGCCCCCCAACTCCCTTACCCCCAAGCTCAAGTTTCCTGAACCACAAGTAACTGGAGAACCATAATGAGAACCATACTGGGTGGTAACAATAATCACAGAAACAGCCAGAAAAGCATCAGATACAGCCTCCAAAGCAGCACAATCAATGGATATCAAGAAACTACGTTGATAAACAAAATCATATAATGCAGATTCCAATGCATTAACATGATATATTTTCCAAGACCCTAAATGAACAAAATCCTGTCCTTACACCAATAGCAGATCCTAAAATAAAGCCATGGTTTCTTCATCTCTATTTCTCCCCAGTGTACACAGCAGGAACTCAATAAACGCCTGCTGAATCAAAAAGGGGTGGCAGCAGATCTCAAAGAGTGCAGGCTGGAGATGGTAAATCCCAGCTGGTGGTGGTATAATACTGTTATGAAAATGGGCTAAGCACATGAGATTATGCCAACTGAGTGAGCCCCTGGCCTCCCAAAGTTTACCTTTCATGGCAAAATGGTATATACATTGTTACAGTAATATGGACACGGTATGTGGATCTGCATTTCAGCCTAAACTTACTACCCAACATCTACTCTCTCAGTCTGGGCAAGCAGAGGGATTATGGGAAAGGAAATCAAAGGAAATCTAGTTAAAAGGGTAAGACATTCCAAGGTTATATGAATATTTATGAGAATAAATTTTCTCAAGTTTACTCTTCAACAGTACCATTTCAGGTCTTACATAAATAAAGAGCAATCCCTTTCTTCAAGCGTTTTGTGAGTCCCCCTAACTCTTATGCAACAGTAGGAGAAATGCCAAAAATGCCAAAACCGGCTGATACAGTATTAAAGCCTTAGAGGCCAGACTTTCTCAGCTTTTAACTCAGCCAAAGACACTTAATACTTCTGGAAAAAAGGACAAATGATATTAAAGAAAATTATTTATAGATACTTTTTTTTTTCTTTTTTAGAGATAGAGTCTCACTCTGTTGTACAGGCTGGAGTGTCGTGGCACAATCATAGCTTGCTGTAACCTCAAACTCCTAGGTTCAAGCAATCTTCCCACCTCAGCCTCCCAAGTAGCTGGGACTATAGGCGCAGACCCTCATGCTTGGCTAATTTTTTCATTTTTTTTATAGAGATGAAGTATCACTATATTGCCCACTCC